GAAGAAGAAAGAGGTTGGGGCTAAACAGCATGTTACTGGAAGATGGAAGGTGGACTGAGGGTGATAATCAATTGGCTTCTAAAGCTATAAAGTTTTACCAGGCTCAATTTACTGCTAATAATAACAATGAGGAATATTCACTGCTTCAGAATATCCCTAAGCTGGTCTCAAATTTTGACAATCAAGCACTGAATACAGTACCTACTGAGGAGGAGGTTAAAGGAGTTGTATTTGCACTAAATGGAGATAGTGTTTGTGGGCCTGATTGCTTTTCAAGTCTGTTCTATCAATATTGCTGGGATATTGTGGGTCTTGATGTTATCAAAATAGTGAAGGTGTTCTTTGAAGGTAATACTCTACATAAATCTATTACTCATACTAATTTGGTCTTGCTCCCTAAGAAAGAAATCATACAGACTTTCTCAGACTTAAGGCCAATTAGTTTAAGTAATTTCTTGAACAAGGTCATCTCTAGTATCGTACATGAAAGGATAGAAGATTTGCTTCCTAAGATTCTCTCCCAGCATCAATCTTTATTTGTGAAGGGAAGAAGTATTTCTGAGAATGTATTGCTAGCTCATGAGATAATTACTGATATAAGAAAGAAGGGAAAACCTGCAAATATTGTTATTAAGCTTGATATGGCTAAAGCTTATGATAGAGTGAATTGGAGATTTTTTATTCAAGTGCTAGGAAGAATGGGGTTTAACAGTTTGATGTTAGACAAGGTTTGGAGGTTAATTGCAAACAACTGGTACTCCATTATTATTAATGGGCAATCTCATGGTTTCTTTCACTCTTCTAGAGGGGTGAAATAGGGTGATCCCCTATCCCCTGCTCTTTTTATTCTATCTGTTGAGGTGTTGACAAGAACTTTGAACAATCTATTTGAGGATAAAAAGTTCAAAAGTTTTGGCATGCCTAAATGGAGTGACAACATCAATCATCTTGTACATGCAGATGATACAATCATTTTCTCATCTGCTAATCCCGTCTCTTTGAAATTGATTATGCATACTCTTGAAAGGTATGAAAATGAATCTAGCCAGATGATTAATAAGCAGAAGAGTCAATTCTTTATGTACAGGAAGGCTGCCAGAGGGATCATAAAAGAGGTGGAGAATATTACAAGTTTTACAAGAGGAGATTTCCCTTTCATGTACTTGGGATGTCCCATTGGACATGCAAGAAAGAGGAAGATTCATTTCTCTGAACTGATTAAGAAGGTACAAAATAAACTACAATTGTGGAAGGGGAAACTATTATCCTTTGGGGGAAAGGTTGTTCTTATCAATAGTGTCCTACAAAGTATTCCTATATATCTTTTTTCATCCATGGTTCCTCCCAAGTGTGTGATTCATGATCTGCATAAAATATTTGCAAAGTTTCTATGGAACTTTAGAGAGGAGGGGAGAAATAAGCACTTGGCATCTTGGGAAGATTGATGCTTACCAAAAATGAAGGTGGTTTGGGATTCAGATCTTTTTTAGATGTGTCAAAGGCTTTGTTTACTAAATTATGGTGGTAATTTAGAACCAAAAAGTCTTTGTGGACTAATTTTCTATGGAACAAGTATTGTAAAACACATAAACCCCAAGTGGTACATTGGCAAGGGGATTCTTAAGTCTGGAAACTTATGTTGGAAGCTAGAGATTCTACTGGTCAAGACATATGGTGGGAAACAAAATGTGGTCATTCAAGTATTTGGTTTGATAACTGGACTCAATTAGGGGCTTTTTTCTATTATCTTCCTATATCAGACCAGCACTATAATACTTATGAAGATATCAAGCAGTTGTTGATACAAGGTAAGTGGAACAATGAACTATTGATGCAAATATTTAATGAATAAGTGGTCAATCAAACACAGGGTACTGGTAGCAGTAGGGAAATCAGAAGAATGGGATAAGGCCTGGTAGATGTTAACAAGCAATGGCAAATTTACTATTAAATCTTCCTGGGAGGCATTAAGAAGGAGAAGTTCAGATCAGGAGGAGATGAAATTCATTTGGTAAAAAGGAATTCCACTCAAAATCTCCTTTTTCATGTGGAGACTCTGGAAGAAGAGAATTCCCATTGGAGACGTTTTGGTAAAAATCAAGGTGGAAAGTGAAGTGAAATGTTGTTGTTGCAATAGTAATCATCAAGAAACTATTGAACATCTTTTTGTTCAATGTCCAAATGCTTTCAAACTATGGCAGATGTTTGTTGGGGCTGCTGGTTTAAAATGTTATGGTGTTCAGCTGAAGTAAATGTGTGATATTTGGTGGAAGTTTGAGTGTGCTTCTAAACTTAAACCTTTGATTGTTGTTGTGCCTAGTTTTATTGGGTGGCAACTTTGAAAAAGAAGGAACAAAATAAGAAATGGAGGCATGATATCTTTTATCTATATGGTGGGGGAAATCAACAGAAACTTGGTTATGTTAGCCAAGTATTTTTACCCTTGGTTAGCTGATATTCCTGATAATTGACCTTTAATGGTCAAGTTCTTTAAAGATTACAAACCAGTGATATATTGTAAAGTGGTGAGATGGACATGTCCTGTAATGGGCTTCAAATGTAATACTGATGGAGGATTGGATTCTTTGACAGGCAACTTTTCTAGTGCATTCTATATTAGAGATGTTGCAGACAACTTTGTATATGCAGAAACAAGAAATATTGGGAAGGAATCAGTGCTGATGGCAGAAATAAAAGCCCTAATGTTTGGGCTAGAGTATTGTTGCACTCACAATGTAATGCATGTTGTTTTAGAAACAAATTCTATGATATGTAAAAGGGTACTTGATGGAGTGTGGGAAACTCCATGGAATATTGCAATTGTTCCAAACTACTTAAAGAGGGTATTAGCAGAAAATAGGGCCTTAGTCAAACATATTTACAGAGAAGGCAATCAAGTCGCAGATTTTTTTACTAACATAATTTTTTGTTTTGCAGGTCCAATGGTGAAAAAATTCAATTCTTTGAGAGAAATACCAAGTAAAGGAAGGGCATTGTTAGAACTCGAAAAACTGTGCACACCATTTATGAGAATAAAGAAGTATCAAAATAATATGGAATCTACAGCAAGCAACAGAACACCAAGAACAACAACCAATAATCTGATTAATTAGATTGAAGGGCAAGGCGACAGATAGTCTCCGATAAAAGGATTGTTACCTGAAGTCGGCATCTCCGATATGACATAATTAGATTCCAGATCAGATTTCTTTGACAGTGGTATTAGTTCCTCTGGATCTCAACCTGTTAAGAATGAAGAAATGGAAACCTAATTATGTCTTAGAGTTGAATATCGATCCTCGAGAATTTTGATGTTGCCCATCGGTAGAAAAGGAACCCCCGATTTAGTGGTAGAAGAAGTCTTCATTGAATATGAATTCATGGTATTCGTGAGACTTGTGAATGCCTAAGGTGAATATCTACTTGACCACGAAGTTGTGCTTCCAAAATCTCCAGTGCCAGCTTGAAGCTCTTTTCCATGGTGACTTTTCAAGCTTCCAGAGCTACTGTCTCTTTCCTTTTTTAGTTTTGTCTTCTCTATTTGTGTTTAATTAGATATTGCCTAAATTAAGTTTGGGCTTGGGTCACTTTTGGACCCAAGCCATGTAAATTGTTTACACCATTTTATTTTTTAGTCTATAAATGGGCTCGACCCAATCCATTTGCTTAAAAAAAACTAAATTAATTAAATTATTACTCATTTGACTTTTCTTTTATTTTACTAAACACAATAAAAAAGTGTTGTCTTTCTCTTCAACTATTTTCAAACCCTTCTTCCTCCAAGTTTCAACTTCTCCAAAATCTTCATTGCCCCATTCCGAACCCAGGTCACTTGTTGTGGTTGCTGCCCGCTGCCCGTCTCCCGCCTTAGCATTCCATCCAGCGGCTAAGCCTCATAGGCCTGCTTGTTGTTGGGTGCTATTATTTTCACTTTTGTCCATCCATCCACAACCTTTTATAGATTGTAAGTTTGTAATTCTATTTTTGTAAGATTTTTTATTTCTATATCTTGAGTTCTTTAAAGTTTTAATGAGTGATGACTGATTTCATATTAGACAAGAGTTTTGATTTTACTTTGATATTCTAAATTTCTAATGAACATTGTAAGACATTATTGGTTAAAAATTGTGTGATATGAACCATATTAATTTGAATTAACTATGACTTACCCTATTAAATTTGAATTAATTGTGAGTTGAATTGAAGTTTAATTTTTGTAGGAAAGTGTTCTAGTTTTATGAATTGAGATGGAGAAGTTTCTTGTGAAATTTAATCATTCTCAAGCAAGTTCTAGTACGAATGTCAATCCTTCTCACCTTAAAGATGACCTTAATTTAGATTCACTTGAAGCCGATCCAGGAAAAAGAGTACCAATTGCTCACTATAACCCTCGAATAAAGGATGAATTGAGGAAACATTATATTCAAAAAGGGTCTTGTCAATCTCACATGGATTCATATCCTCCTACTGAAATTCAAAAAAGAATGCGCTAATTTTGTAAAAGTTGGTTTGAAGGTCCATATTCTAAATGGTTGGAGTATAGCATGGAGAAAGATTATGTCTATTGTCTATGTTGTTACTTATTCAAAAATGATTTTTTCCATGGAAGTACGAGTGAGTTTAACACAAAAACTGGTTTTAGGAGTTGAAATAAGGCACTTGAAAGGTTCCGTAAATATGTTGGTGATGTTAATAGTATTCATGACAAATGTTTCAACAAGATGCTAGATTTGTCAAATCATCGTCAATCAATTCAAGTTGTTCTTGACAAACATTCTCAAAAATTAAAAAATGAGTATCGAATGCGTTTGGAAGCCTCAATTGATGTGTCAAGACTTATTTTGCAATATGGATTACCTTTTCGAGGTCATGATGAAAGTGAATCTTCAACTAATCAAGGCTTCTTTCTAGGATTTTTGTGATGGCATGGGGACAAACATCAGGATGTGGGAAAAGTGATATTAGAAAATGACCCACAAAATGATACTTTGACTTGTCCTATGATTGGAAAAGATATTGGCAATGCTTGTGCAAAAGAAACATTGAAAGCAATAATTGAGGATTTGAATGGAGATTACTTTGGTATATTAGTTGATGAGTCAAAAGACATCTCTCACAAAGAACAAATGGCTCTTGTTTTGCGTTTTGTTAATAAGAATGGTGAAGTAGTTGAACAATTTATCGGTCTTGTCCATGTTAGTGATACATCGGCATGTTCATTGAAGAAAGCGATTTATTCTTTGCTTTCCATTCACTCACTAAGTCCATCCAAAATACGTGGACAAGGTTATGACGGGACTAGTAATATGAAAGGAGAGATAAATGGGCTCAAAATTTTGATTATGAAAGATAGTCCATCGGCATATTACATTCATTGTTTTGCTCATCAATTGCAACTAACACTTGTGGCTATTGCTAAAAACCATTTGAATGTTGAAGATTTTTTTTATCATGTTAGTAATGTGTTAAATGTGGTTGGAGGATCTTTCAAGTGTAGAGACTTACTCTGTGATCACCAAGCTAAAAAGTTAGAGCAATTATTTGAATCTGGTGAAGTTCAAAAAGGCCAAGGATTACATCAAGAACATGGGTTTCAAAGACTAGGTGATACTCATTGGGGATCACATTTCAAAACTTTAGATAACTTTATTGTTATTTTCTCATCTATTGTTCATGTTCTTGAAGTGATTGAACTTGAAGGGTCCACATGAAGTGATAGAAATCAAGCGGAGTATATTTTGACGAAGATTAAAACATTTAAATTTATTTTTGTGCTTCACTTGATGTTGAAAGTGTTGGCAATGTCAAATGAGTTGAGTAAGATTTTACAAAAAAAAAAGATCAAGATATTGTTAATGTCATGGAGTTTCTTAATATTATAAAGAAAAGATTGCAAGATATGAGGTAAAATGGATGGGAATCTTTGTTGAATGATGTTTCCTCATTTTGTGATGTGCATGATATCTTGATTCCCAAGTTGGATGAGTCTTATTTTCCCGGAAAGTCAAAATGTAAGTCTTCGGGTGTTAGTTATGCGCACCATTTGCGTGTTGAAGTCTTTTTTGTTGTCATTGATGTGCAACTTCAAGAGCTTAATGACCGTTTTGATGTAGTGAGTAGTGATATGCTTCTTGGGATGGGTAGCTTGAATCCGGTCAATTCTTTCTCTAATTTTGACAAAGGTAAAATCATGACTTTAGCAAAGTGTTATCCAAGTGAGTTTGATGATGGAAAAATTTGAAATTTGAGCTACCAACTCGATACTTTCATTATTCATATGCGAAGTGGTAATCCCAGGTTCTCCAACTAGCAAGGAATTTGTGATTTTGGCGAAGGCATTGGTTGAAGCAAATCTTGCGGAGACTTATTCACTTGTTTATTTACTTGTAAAGTTGACTTTGATTTTACCTGTTGCTACGGCAACTGTGGAGGGAGCATTTTCATCAATGAAGCACATACAAAATGAAGTGTGGAATAGCATTGGTAATCAATATTTAAATGATTGTCTAGTTTGTTACATAGAGTGTGATGTATTTACAAATGTTAGTAGTGATGTCATTATCAATCGTTTTCAGAATATGAAAACTCGTCGAGGACAACTGTAAATGAATGATGAATATTTATAATATTAGTAATATTATTGAAATTTTTAAATTTGTTAACTTCATGCTTTTAGTGTGGAGTGTGGATTTGTAATATCTTATTATTTATATTTTATTGATTGATTTATCATATATATTGAAAAGTCGAATAATTTAATCAAATATAAAGTTAATTTAATCGATAAGTCTATTTGACACCCACAGACTCTAAATCCTGGATCTGCCACTATTGAAAAATATACATCTAGCTAATCCATTATCATTTTTTATGTTCTTATATAAAAATTTCAAGATCTATTATATTTCTTAGATTATTCACAAACCAGATTTTTTTAATTCGAAATTTCTGTGATATTTGAGTTTATTGATTCAAAATAAATGGAACAAATCCTCAAGTAAACCTAATGGATAATGAATTTTTGTGTTTGAAAAAAAATTGAGTTTGAAAATGATACAAAATGTGGGAGTAGAATACAATTTGTTTCGGGGATGAGGAGTGGAAATGGAGAAGATGATGGAAGTGGGGAATTGGGGAAGGAGGAATTGTACCTTTTTTAAAATATTATTTATCTCTTTTGATAATTAATTTTTGTTGTGTCATTAAATATTTAAAAAAGTTATGATGTTTCACTAAAAAAAATGGTGTGAAATTTCACGAGTAGCTGGGTGTATCACACTTCCACAGATCGTGTGAGAAAAGGGTTTAAAATATTGTGTTTCGTTGAGTTTACGTGTTTATTTGGCAAACTGGTGAGTAGGAGGATCTAACTGACTAACGGAGCCAAGTACAAGGGTCTCTCAGGTCATTCCGCCTTAGTTAGTTAATCACAACGTCACTTGGCTCGCAAACCAATCGTCCGCTCTCAATTACACTTTGAACCATGTTGTGCATGAATCATTGAGATGAAAGGGGATGACCGCTATCACCTTACTAGATAATTTTCAATTTCAACATTTGGGAGTCTCCTCCCATACACTTATATAATCACCACCAGCAATAATTACTTCAACTACTGTCACCATAGACCAAATTGATCAATCCTAGATTACAATGTCGGTCTATACCTAATCGATGATTAACTGGTGACTGGTATGAAAATCTGCAAACAAAAATGTCAATAAATTAAATTGGGTGTAATCAATTATTTGCTAGCACTGGAATGAAAAAATGTATATTTAGGACTTCTAAACTACAACAATTTATCCACTAATGAGGTATTCAATGAGAATTAAAAAGTTTACATGCTAGTAATTTTTTTTTACAAAAAATTAAAAATAAATGGAATAACAATGGAGGCAATGAACAAGAATGAAGATTTTCAGTTGTGAGGAGGAAGATTTCGCCGAAAAAGTCACTGGAATCGGAAAAACTAGGTGAAAACAAGACCTATTTTTGGTTGGCTTCTTGAACAAGATTTTTTTATTATTTTTATAAATCTGAAATAAATGGTAGGAAAAAATAAAATTTATTAGAAGAGGTGGGGAACTAAAGTGTAATATTAAAGACTTGGAAGTTGGTCTTGTATCTTTTGAAAGAATATTTGATGATGTTATAATTAGTGTCTATTAGAGCTGTCAATATGGGTTGGCCCACCCCATCCGGGCTAACACCATGTAATATTGTATGGAGGAATTGACACAGACATACAACTATTATATATAATTGGCAATATATAGCCCAATATTAATTAGCAATTAATAGCCTAAAACAAAATTAGCACTTATTAGCCTAAAAGAAATAAAACCAACTTTTTATAGTTTTTTTTCTTTTTATCATGTGCAACCAACCCGCATTAATTAAGGAGATGTGTGATTATTTTTTCTTCCTTGTTTTTAACTCCTATAATTAAGGAAGTTAGCTTTTCAATTTCTTTAATTTTTAAACTCAACTTTATTTAACCGTCTATTGAAAAAAAATAGTAACGCAATTTACAGAAACATAAAGATATATTTTATTGTAATTTTATGATTTTTTTTTTTTACCAAACAACAATAATTAGTTTATTAGAAAACCATTGCCTACTTTTAAGAAGTGATATATATATATATTAATTAACCCATTAAAAAAAAGGTTACACCAACTTTTAAGGAATGAATTTTTTTAAAATTCTTTAAATAACTTATTAAAAGATTGTGACTACTTTTAAGGTAAGAAAATGTATTATTAATGCTCTAACGTGTATTAATTATCACATAATCGACAATAATTAATCAAATAATATTAAATGGCATTTTATTAGAAACTGTAATAATACATATGCATAAATTATACAATAATTAAAGTTGCAATTACATAATGTATACATAAAAAAAAATATGTATACACAAAAAAATATTCATAAAAATAGACGTGTAAATTTTATTGATGTATACAGTAATTGTAGCATGTGTACATAAACTTTATATTGTATACATAAGAATATTACCATCAATTATACGTATTACTATAATGAATACAAGAATGAGATTAATATGATACATATATAAATTTTATTCATTAATTGTACATGTAATTTTGTTTATGTATATGGTAACTACACTATGTATACATTAGTTCGTATTCATCGTTTATTCAGTGATTTGTATTCACATAATAAACTTATATACTTTAATTTAAATTGAGATTGGAATTCATTGGTATACATTGGGTTGTATTCATCAAAATCAACATTCTGATTTTTTACGAAGATATTTCTTATCCATGAAATTGAGAACAAAAATTTCAAAAAACTATTACCTGAATTTTCGCCAAAAAAGTTTTAAAAACTTTAGTTCCACAAATCACGAATTTTTAAAATTAATGGGGCAAGAAATGCTACATAATTATATATTAAAAGAAATTATTGGAAGGATCAATCAATAAACATATAGTTATATCTGATTTGCATAGACAGAGTAAATTAAGGAGAATAAGAGAAAATTTAGAAGAGAAGCAAATATACATATGAAAAGGATTTTAGAAAGAAAACAAAAGAAGGTTGAATAACCTAATTTTTTGCAAAAACAAAATTGAAAGAACTTTAATTCTACAAATCATAAAATTCAACAATTAATTTGACAAGAACAAGATTATATATAAAGATGATTTTTAGAAATATCCATGAAAAAACATATTGTTATATCTAATTTTCATAAACAGATTGAATTAAGGAGAATAATTGAAATTAGGGAGAGAATTACGTATGAAAAGAATTTTGGAAAGAGAAAAAGGAGACAAAAAAGAGAAGAACTTTATTTTAAAAGTGTTGACAAAATAAAAATAAAAAAGATAAAATAGGGATAATAAAACAATATTTTTTTAGACCGTGTGTTTGAGAAAAATAAGGAGAACAAAAATACATTTAAAAAAAAAGAAAAATAACTATTCAATGCCAAATAAATAAAATAAAGTCTTTTTCTTGCTAAAAAATTAAAAGTGGACTATTTCTTGCTAATTTAGTCTATAGGGTGTTATGTTGTGCCATTATTGTCGATATATTTATGATAATATTTTTATATTATAATTTAATTATAAAAATAATTCTTTTAAGAAAAAAGGGTTGGCCCAGCAAAGCTCGGCCCACGTACCTGTGGGCTGGGCTGACCAATTTTTGGTCCACACCAAAAATGGTCGGGCCAGCCCACAAGTACGTGGGCTACGGCTTTGCTGGGCCAACCCTTTTTTCTTAAAAGTATTATTTTTATAATTTTTTAAATTAAATTATAATATAAACATATTATCATAAATATCGACAAGACAATATTACATGGTGTTAGTGTTACTACTTGTTAATCAAATCTACAAATAAAATTATCTTTATAATATTTATTAAGTTTGATTTCAAGTAAAAGCATAAATAGCTAAATAGAAATATTAACCTAATTGTTTTCCAATAATCATAATAAAACACAAAAACTATGACAATATTCCATAGGCTACGGCCTATGTAGTGATTCCCTAGAAATTTTAGCGAATTTTTATTTTATGTAGTACATATTGTATAAATATAATTTTGTTATAAAATAAATAAAAGTAATTAACTAAACTAATAAGAAGAAAAAAGGAGAGGAGAGAAATGTATGTTGCTCATAGAGAAATTAAGAGAAAGAAAACCTTGTTATTATTTTCACTATAATATGACCATTTTGTAGGCCTAGGAAATTGCTTACTTGGGCAAGAGAGAGAGTTACAGTATGTTGTATTACTTGGGTACCAAGTTTGGATATTTAACTTGGAAATAGGGGTGGGTCCCATTAGAGAGCCACATGGACATTCATCTTATATTTTACAACACTTCCCCTTGAATGTCCATGTAAAATAAAAGTTCTAAAAAAAACAAGTATATATTTGTAGTTATTCTTAATATGCATTGTTTGTTGCCTTATAAGCTGCTTGAAGGAAGCTACTTGCAAGCTGATTGTATGGACCTACTTGCAGAGCTACTTGTACGTTGCTTATAGGAACATGCTTGTGTAAGCTTCTTACATGAACCTGGTTGTGGAGTTTCTTGTAAGTTGCTTATAGGAATCTACTTACGGAGCAGCTTGTAAGTTGCATATAGAACCTGCTTGCGGAGCTGCTTGTAAGTTGTCTTCTTGGTCTTTTAAGCTTATCCAGAAATTGTGTAATGGACATCCACAATATGATGTTTTTCCTACTCATTGAAGTTCATCAATAGATAATGTGTCTCGTTAAAACCTTGCTAGGAAAAATTCTGTGGGAAAAAGTCCTAGTGAAGGAAAAAGAGTACACATATCTAGTAATACGCATTGAGACCTGCCTCATTAAAAACCTTAACAGGAAAACTCAATGGAACAAAATCCTTGATTAAGGAAAAAAGAGTACAACGCATATTTACTCCCCCTGATTGAAACATTACTTAATTCTTGTAAAGGATGTCTCATAATATTACACTTAGCCTTCCAAATGTTGATATTGATTGTATCTTTGTGACTAAATCATATTCATGAAGATGTTGCATTGTTGAGCTTAACTTGATATATTATTTTCCTGTTTCTTAGATATGTTGAG